AGCTTCAGATGAACCAGCAGTTCCAATTGGACCACTGAAAACCCAACAAATGCTGCCATTCCTCTCCTTTAAAACTCCTCCAATACCAGCTGCACCTGCGTTTCTAGGGCACTTCCATCAAAATTTAGTCTCAACACCCCTTCCATTCTAGAAATAGGACCCCTAGGAGGGAGCTAAGTCCTTGGATATGCCCCATATTGTATCATATCGGCAGGCTGGTAATACTCTAAATAAGACTTCTGAAAATTTGGTTATTTTCAGGGGTTAGGCAGGCCTAAGACCGACCCACTGACCTATTTTTGAAAAAAAAACACCTAAAAAAAGACATGCACACGGTTCAAACTTCAAAGTGCTCATACACCCTTTCTGGTGTATTGGGGTGTATTGATACTTTGTACCTTGGAGAATGTAAAACTTTTTCCACGTTTCTGTACAGATCTTAACAAAGAGACCTCGAGACACCTCAGAGTTGACAGCCCACAAGTTACAAAGGTGGGTAATATAAGATATAAACCCTTCAAAGGATCTAGATTCGTTTTCAAAGATGTGGTTGCTTCTTTCTTCCCAAACTCCCCACATTACAGCATATGCTACTATAATCCAATAAATTTTGGCCTTCCTACCAAGTTTTTGCCATGCCACTGCCACAAAAACTCCAGGATATGTTCAGGGGCAACCCAACTGTAACCTGCCAGAACCAGAAAATGACTCCATATTCTTTTTGTTACTTTACAATACAAGAGAAGATCATCAGCAGATTCACCATCACAGAGGCAAAGAACACACGCATGAGGGGAAATATGTAGTCTGCCTCTATGTTTTTTCCTGAATGAGATCACAAGTATCAATTCTCTTTAAATACGCTTCCCACGTGAAAAAAGAGAATCCAGGAGGGATAAGGGGGCACCAGATCTTTTTAAAGGAGAATCCTGAGCTGAGGTCACCTGAGATAAGAGTCCTGAAGAAGGATTTTGTAGAGAACAAACCGGCAGGGTGAAGTTTCCAGATGCGGTGGTCAAAAGACAGAGGGGAAATGTAAACCTCTGTAAGGCAATGCAAAAGATCAACAATTTCACCGATCTCCATGTCTCTCAGAGGTCTTCTAAGGTTAAGGTTCCAGTTTGTATCAAGGGGGGAAGTAGGAAGACAAGAAGAAATAGTTACATCTTGGGATTGAGAAAGGCTGAAAATTCTAGGATAAGGAATTGCCAGGTGTGCTCACCCCACCAGTGAGCTGTCCAAAATTTAATTCTATTTCAATTACTTATAGCCACATATTACAGATCTGACTAAGACAAGAGTCCCCCCAAGTTTCGTGTAGGTATTAGTGTCCACACTGGTAAGGCACCGTTTTGAAGTATCCATGTAACATGGCATGGGGCAAATTATAGCCCCAAAGCATTTGTCAGTAAATAAGCCCTTCTCTCATAACAAGCTTTATATTCAAAACTATAACTTTTGTGTGGTTAATATTAGTTACAAAAACCACCAATGCAATGTGGAGTGCAGTGCTAATGTCAACTAGAGGTTGAACACCTTACCAATCTAGAGGGCCCCTATGGGATAGATGGTTCAGACCTGCCACATCATCCCTCCATGTGGCAGAATAGTGTAGGCTGTGAAGGAAAGCTCCCTACTTGACCCAATTAGGAAACCTTTTTCCTATATATGTTTTATAATAGCGTATATAATATTTTTTTTGAGAAAAGGTAATGTATATTTTATAATATGGCATATAACATTATACAATATCTATACACATATTTATATGGTATTACCAGGTTGGTTGTAATACAGTCTTACCAGCTCAGACCTGATTAGCCTAGTTAATAATATGGCCAATTTTGGATCTACTAACTAATATTTTTTGAGAAATCTACTCTCTCTCTCTCTCCCCTAAATAATATAATATCCTAAAATTTCTCCTAAACAACCTCCCCCACTATTCCCAACTTTCTCCTAAGTTATCTCTAATTTAGTAGAGAGTTTCTCTACTAAATTATCTCTAATTCTTATTTATCTTCTCCCCCACTTTTTATCTACATCTATCTAAGGAAAGTTTAAATAAAAAAATTTAAGAATTATTTAAATATTCTAACACAATTATACAATAACTTTAAAATATTTATTAAAAAGACAAAAAAAAATATAATCGATTTAATAATATTCATATTATTAATAATTATATTTTTACAAAACTCATCACATAATTATGTACAAACAATATAAATTATGATTTTCTGGATAATTCAATCTAAATGTTATTCAAATAATAAAAATATAACACTAAAAAATGAAATATTATTTAAATATTTCAATAACTAAATATCTTAAATAACAAAATATTAAAATTAATATTTTAAATCAATTAATAATATATTTTAAATAGTTTCTGAATAACTTTCAATTATAATAAATAGATTAAGATTTTAAATATTTACTAATTATTTTAAACAACGAAATATTTAACATAACTTGATTTTAAATAGTTAAAATAACAAAATTATGTATTAATAGTACTATAATTTTATGGATTATTAAATTCAACAAGTAATTAATATTTTAAAATTTAAATAATGATATTATTTCAATAAATAAATAATTTCATTTATACCAATTAATAATTCTAGAAAATAACTTTGAAAAAAATTAATGTTTATTAATAAGAATTTTAAAAACTTAATCTATATTTATTACATATTTATATATACCAAAATTAATATTTATTGGATTTCAGTAATTATTATTGTTTTTTGTGATAAATATATTTTCAATAATTATGTATAAATCTATTTTTGTTTTGTTATTTAATAGAAAATTTTCAATAATTATTGGAGTTTAAAATACAGTTATTTAGCTTTTTAAATTTAATTTATTTGGTATTTTTGCTATAATTTTTTAATAATTATTGCAGATTAAACTATTGTTCATGGGTTGGTTCGGTTCAGTTGTAGATTGTTTGGCCAAGCAAATCGACATGGTCAAGTTGGGGAGTTGGTCACTCGAGTTATATCGATTTGAGTCAATTTTCGGTTTGGTCGGTCGGTTCAAAAGATTTAAACTTAAAATTTAAATTTAAAAAATTACAATGGCATTATTTAGAAATAAATTTAAAAATTAAATTTATGATTTAAAATATTTTAGCCTAAGAAATATTGGAACTTTCCCACTTTCCTAAATTAAAAAAATATTTAAAATATAAAATATTAATATATATCTATGGTTAGGTCATTCAAGCTTAGCCAGTTTACAAATGGCCAAAGCGAAATTGATCCAACCCAGAAGGGTTGGGAAATTGTTGAACCAAAGCCGACTGGAAATACTAGAAATCAGGTTGGGCAGTTTCATTAGTTTGATTAGGAATGGCAATGGGGTGGGGCGGGGACGAGGAGCCGCTCACCATCCCCGTCCCTGCGAAAATCCCCATCACCGCTAATGGGGGCAAAGTTATCCCCATTCCCGTCTCCACGGGGATCCCAACTCCCCATGATTCTTTATAATGTCAACCATTATGTTTTTGTTTTTTATTTTATTTAAAAATAAAAATAAAATAATTAAAATTTACAATTCTATTAGAAAGATTCAAACATATTAAATCATATTTTTAAAAATATTAACATATAGACGTATGTGTACATATATAAACATATGCATATATATACATATATATTAGCGGGGATCCCATGGGACGGGGATTGGGGTCCCCACGGGACAGGGAGAGCCAACAGGGATGAAAATTTCCCCATCTCCGTCCCCACAAGGGGAAAATATCCCCATCCCCGCCCCATTCGGGGCGGATCCCCATGGGGATCGGGGAAATGGGGAATATTGCTATCCCTAAGTTTGATAAACAAACCTATCTAAAATTAACTATTGTTATTTTTTATTGTAAAAAATTATTAATAGTATATAAAATATAAATGATTATTAATTATTATATAAAACAATTGTATACCTCCAATATGGAACTTTAAGTATATTTTAAAGTGGTATTATAGATTTGTGGAAATCAAAAATAGCATTTACAATGCTAGCCCTATGCGCGTATACCTCTAATAAAAGTTAAAAAAAGTACTTTTTTATTGGTAACAACCATAGTTGTCAAGGCGATAACTAGGAAACAAGGGACCCTTGGAGGCTTGACTCACCTAATTGCCAAGCAGTTTTGTACATTGTATTATAAAATACTTTTATATTCTTTACTTTTTGAGATTATAATTATAAATAGACATTATTAAACTAAAACGTTCATTTTATGTGTTTATATACTAATTTCTCATTATTATTTACTTATTTGTTAGGGTTTAATCAACACAAACATAGCTAAATGCTGTATTGAACCCTCAAAGACTCAAAACCTGAACCAATAAGAAAGAACTTAAAATTTTGTGTAATCAACACATTTTCTTCTTCGTCTACCTTTTCTATTCTTCTTTTCCTATAACAAAAATAAGGGTTCAGCCCCTTTTATGAATTTTCTATTCTTTCTTCTTTTTCTTCTCATGAATATGTTGATTTTCTATATTTTAACATGAAGTTTATACTTTTCTTATGAAAATTATGGATAATTTTTAAGGAAATATGGTTATGGAACCTAGGGAACTACCCTAGGATATATGTTTTTTACTTAAAAAAATCCATCGACTAGGCAACAAGGAAGGGGCAACAAGGCACCCCTTGTCACCTAGCCTCACCTTGGCGCCTTGAAAACTATAGTAACAACATAATTTTATTACTTCTGTAGAAAAAATGAGTTAATTAAAAAATTTAAAAGCCTTCCCCCTTTAGATTATTAGCATCAACTAAAAAACGAAATTATACAAAAAACATTCATAACAAATAAAGTCTCTTTCTAACAAGGTTATTTTTTATTAGATGATCTATCAGATTACAAAGGCCAGACTAAAATGGAGAACAGTAAATGAAAAAGTGAATTTTCTAACTGCCCTGTTCTAGTATGAAAAAAGGTCTCAATTTATAATTATGTCCAAGATGCTTACCACCATTCCTGCAACCAGATGGATCACTGGAACAAATATCTGGTCTATTCTCTTCCCTTCTGCATATCCATTGAATGCTATGACCATTGAGTAAGTGTGGATTGTAACAAATCCGAGAGAAATTATAGCTGCTCAGTAGAAGACAAATCTGTAAAACCAAAACTCATACAAAATTCAAAGATATCTTGAAACTGTGTAAAACAGTTTTAATTCATAACTAAAGGATATAAGAACTGATTGAACTTATGATGGAATAACTCTTCCTAGTTCAATGACCTAAAGCTAATGTACTCACACAATCTTATATGGATAATCATGGTCTGCCTAACAATTTGCAGCATGATGCAGATCAAAGTAAACTTCGCTTTTTATTTTGTTTTCCTTTTTTGTAGATGGTTAAATCATTATGTGAAATAGATATAAAAAAAAAAATCATTATGTGAAATGAATCTGCCACTAGAATGATAAAACACTAGCCTTAAACTAATCTTACGCACAACAACTTAAATATCTATTTTCATTCTTTCGGATCAACCACCAACTTGCATATCTTCATCAAGCTTATGAAGAATAGACGACCATTAGCAACTCCACTAGAATGACAAAACACTAGCCTTAAACCAATCTTGTGCACAACAACTTAAATATCTATTTTCATTCTTTCAGATCAACCACCAACTTGCATATCTTCATCAAGCTTATGAAGAATAGACGACCATTAGCAACTTACAGTAAGCAAAAGGTCTAGTTTAGATTTATACATCATTGCTCAATCATAAAATGTATTAATCAATGATCAAGATCCAAGAATAATATACTTGAACAATTTGATTAATCCATACCTACGAGTCTATGACAACAACATCCGTTGTTTTGACTATTTAAAAGACAAAAGATGAAATTAATCATTCTTATATGAATAACCACAATCATTATTAAAATACTTTTGATTCACTTATGTTAAATGGCAAACAGAAAGACATGGAGTGTCCTTGGATCCATTGATTTAATATGTTGAGTCTGTTTTATTATACTGAAAATACTTCAATTCAGTTTCAATATAAACAGTCCCATATTTTAGAAGCATATACACATTACAAATTCTCATGTTGTACTCGGTTTCAATAATAGAATGAATTGGCAGAATAGACTAGGATTGTGTTACCAGTCCTTAACAGTTAGGATGATGCTCTAACGGTGACAGTCATTAGATTTCTTCCTTAAATGTTATAACTCTTCCCAGTGTCTATACACAGGTACATCCACAACAAATTAATTACCAGGCACATCAATTATCAAGTAATTAAAAACATTGAATATCATTTGCAGAAATGGTAAAAAAGAGGTGACTCACCAGAAATAAGAAAAAAAGGGATCTGCGGGCATTTATCAACATAAAATGTTGCTGGACCAAATGCAGGTGTCAGGAGGCTAAGGCAAAAAAAGACTGCATGGGCCAAACCATGACCCAAACCACCAGCTGCATAACATTTAAACAACTTTCTCTATCATATATAATATTAATTTAAGGAAATTAATATGTCTGTGTATCGAAAACAACAGCAAGAATCCCAACCCTTTCCTAAATCCTAACCTACCATAAATCCAGTCATGTCAAATGTACCATAGGGTCCACCCAATTGGTATGACCTTGGAATATAACTTGATAGACCTGATTGGCTAATCCTAGAAATCCAATCATTTGAACTATAATTTTACATGTGGTAGTAACCAATTAGAACTATTCAAGTTTTCAACCAGAAGATCTACTAGTCAGAATATGGTTGTTTCCAATTTCCCCATGCATGGTGCAGCTTCTAGGATTAAAGAGCCAATAAAAATTATTCCATAGCAGAAAACCAAACAAGTATCTGGAAAGCTTACCAAGGGCAATTTGCATCTTGTCTGTCAGAAAGAGGCGAGGTTTTGACATCCTATCAGCAAAAGCGTCCAATATATCTTCAAGCCTCCTGATGAAAAAATTCACTAGAACAAATGTGTGAAAAATGTAATAAATATCCGCAGCGGAACTTCAACTGTTATTTCACAAAGATTCATAAAGAAAGGGAGCATTCCATTGAAATTGGCATCTAAGGGGAAAAGTTATTCCAATAACAGATGCCAATATTCCAACTCGAAGAAAGATATCATAAGACTCATAAAGAAATAAAGTATTTTATTAATATTAAAATCTTTAGTGTTAATTAACATTAATATCATTAAAGCCTGGTGAATGCATAGCATTCCATCATATGTCCTGACTAAGAAATATATCTTGAAAAAATATGATTTGGAGTTCTTAAACTTCTGTGAAACAAAGCAGTTTTTTATGCTTCTTGGTAACCCAGAATCTGAGAATGAATTTTGGATCAGTAAAATATTAACTTTATGGGTTATAAATGGCTTTATCTTCGTAATTGAGCAATTAAGAATTTCTCATATAAATTACCATATTAGGTGGATCCTTGGGGAACTAAATTCTGTAGCTGATTGATTAAATCAGGTGCAGGAAAGGTTTTTCTGTATGGTATTGATTAAAAAAATGGAGTTTTTTGTACAGTCAAATTGTCAAAATACATTGCCCATGTAAAGCCTTGGTGGGTCACTTTTTTTTTTTTTTTTTTTTTGCATTCTTGTATTGTTTTTACATCCTTTCCCCTCCCTGTTGTTTCTCATGAAAAGTTACTTGTTCTTCTCCTTCTCCTTCTCCCTCCCCTTCCCCTTCCCCTCTCCCTTTCATACAAGCACTGTTACTATACAGTTCAGTTGTGTTTTATTTTACCTTCCATGAAAATTTTGATTAGGGTCCTTTTTTTGATAGATAAAAGAAACTTTATCAAACATTAAAAGCTTGACAACAAGTACAAAATAGATACAACATATAACTCATCCCAACCCTAGGCACAAGGTGCAGCCTCAGGGACGAAGCAAAAATTACAATTCAACACGAAATAACTGATCCCTATTCACCCCTCTGCAAAAACCAGCAATTCTACAGGAGAAGAACAAGTGAAATACTGATTCTTTGTTCTCTTTGCACATATAACAAACACTTGCTAAGTTGAAACTCTTGTTTTTTCGATGATCTGTTGTTAGTTTAAACACTATCCACAGCCACCAATGACACAAAGGCTTCTACCCTTGAAGGGACAGCCGGACAGGATCGCCCCACACCCCTCCACATCAACTTGCATCCACCTGTGATCTTATTAAAGCTGCATTAAAGGATTTCACAGTAAACCACCCATCCCTGCATTCCTTCCACCACATCCCTACCCACAGGACACTAAAGCTTTTCTTTGGGAATATCTCCCTTGTCATTCATAGGGAAATGTTCCCAATACACAGTGATAGTGTCTTGTGGGTAGGGATGTGGGAAGAGTTTGTGGGTAGGAGAACCAGAGTGAATCCAAAGTGTTCCATCTTAGGGATATTTTCTACTACATTCTTCATCTCTGGACATGGTAAAAACAGGATAAAATGATCAGGTAAACCTGATAAAAGACGTATAGTCATAGGCACACAAAGTATTTTTAAAAACGTGTTTTTGTTTTGAACCCGGAGTCCATTCACAGTTTTTTGTTGGGCTGGCAACTGGCAGGTTTGAGCAGGCAAGGGAGGGTGATCTGGGCTGTGGCTGTGTTCTGGTGCTTATGGTGTGAAAGAAATGCAGGGATTTCTGATAGCTCTTCTTGTTCGGTTCGAAAAGTGCTATGGGGTATAGGGGTGAGCAAGAAAAACTGAAAAACCAAACTGAACCAAAAAACTGACCGAAACCGCACTGAAAATCTGGTTAACCGAACCGGTCAGTTCAGTTTCAGTTCGGTATTTTAAAAAACCGAAGGTACTGGTTTGGTTTCGGTTAACAAATATAGAAAACCGGCGGTTAACTGAACCGACCGGTGTACATATATTTCTATATATTTATATTTATGTATATTATATTATATATATCTATATATATATATATATATTGCTTAGCTAACCCATCCGCTATGGTATTAGCTGTTCTACCCACCCACTGACAAGTAAAAGTCATGTTCCTTGAAAACCAATTAACTTTCCTCAAAAGGTCCCTGTAGCACCAAATAACTGAATCTGGATATGTTAGCCAACCCACAACAACTTTGGAATCTCCTTCAATAAGCAAATTCTGAACTCCTAACTGGTTTGCAATCTCAATACCTTGTACCACCGCTAGAAGCTCAGCTCTAATAGAATCTCCTATACCCACGAGCCCTGAGAATATGGCTAAAATATTGCTGTCTTTATCTCTCAGCACCCCTCCTATCCCTGAAGGACCTGGGTTGCCTTGGCTGCTACCATCAAAACTCAACTTTGTCCAGCCTTCGGAAGGAGGCACCCACACAGCTGGTACCCTATTCTTCCTAGTACTGCTACTAGACACAGCTATCCAGTTCCTCCAAATGTCATCAAAAGTGAATGTGTGAAAGGATTCCAAAGATCTCAGCCAGTGGATTGCCCTAGTCAAAATACAATCCTTTACAGTCTCAATATTTCTCTCCTCTTGGAATAGCCTCGCATTTCTTTCTTCCCAAATTGTCCACAAAGCAGCAGCTCTAATGCACCTCCACATTGTTTTACCAGTTTTTGTGGGCCACACAGAGGAGGGGTCAAAGAGTTGATCTACAGCTGTAGTCAAATTCCACCTGCACCCAAACAAGGCAAAGATCCAACCCCAAATAGCAGCAGAAAAAGAACAGGTTAAAAGTAAGTGGGAGCAATACTCACCGTTAGCCTTGCAAAGTACATACCTGTTAGGAGACAAACACATGGAAGGCCTTCTGTTCTGCAAGCAGTCCAAAGTGTTGATCTTCCTATAGAACACCTCCCAGCAGAAAATAATAATTTTAGGAGGTACAGGTCGAGACTAGATCTCCTTAGCTGGAAAACCCAAAAGTCCCGGGGAAGGGCAAAGGGACTTTAAGAAAGAGGCACACGTGAAGTAACCTTTTGGATGAGGGGACCATAATCTCACATCAGATCTGAGGGGGTCCAGAAAAACACTTTCAAGTAGTGACAAAAGGTCTAAAACACAAGAGAGTTCATGATCCCTCAAGCCCCTATGAAACCCAAAGTCCCAATTCAGAGAGGATGGAGAAACAGGTGTTGGAGGAAAGTGAGAGATAGCTTTTTCCTTGTAGAGAGAAAGGGAATAGAGAGAAGGAAAAATGTCCTTAAGAGCAGAATTGCCCACCCAGATGTCATCCCAAAACAAAACAGAAGTACCAGAGTTGACATCATCATACCTGACAAAATTGAGGAATTGAGGGAGGATACTCTAAATTGCTTTCCAAGGAGTTGCCAACAGGGTCCGACGCGATACACCAGCATCCCATCCATTTCCCAAACTGCCATGTATACTATCTATCACCCCATGCCACAGCCTCTCTTGTTCTATAGGCCACCTCCACAATCATTTTCCTAAGAGAGCTTTATTCTTTATAACTAAATTCCCTATACCCAACCCACCCTCCTCTTTCCTCCTACTAACTACTCCCCAATTTATTAGATGATCATTTTTTCCTCCCTTAGCTCCCAAAGAAAATTTCTCATTAATCTCTCCAACTTCTTGGCCTCCCTAACAGGAATCCTAAAAACCGAGAAGTAATAGCTCAGCAGATTTGCTAGGGATGCTCTTAGTAACGTTACTCTACTCCCTAAAGAAATATAATTTCTCTTCCATGAAGCTAATCTCTTCTCAAATTTATTCCAGAACCAGGGCCCAAAAAATGCTCTCCTTGGGATTGGCTCCTAGAGGTAGACCTAAATACTGTAAGGGTCAGGAAGAAATGGGACAGCCTAGATACTTAGCCATTGACTCAATAGCCCTCTCATCCATATTCACACCCACCACGCAACTCTTATCCATGTTTATTTTTAGATAGGAGACTCTCTCAATGTTCTTTATCAGAGATTTGAGGTTCCTTACCTTTTTCCTATCACCCTCTTCACAAAAGATTATTAGGTCATTAGCTAACTATAGGCAGGTCACCTTAATACTGTTCCTTCCTATCTTCCAACCTCTCACTACTTCTTCCCTGTCTGCCTTAGAGATCAAACCGCTGAAGACGTCTGCAAGTAGGGTGAAGAGGAAAGGGGAGAGGGGGTCACTTCGCCTTAGGCCTCTAAAAGCTAGGAAAAAATCCTTGACCACCCCATTAACCAAGACTAAAAAATGGCAAGAACTTATGCAGCCCTTTATCCAATTACACCATCTAACTCCAAACCCACAAAACCCTAGGACCTTTAATAAAAAACTCCAATCCACAAAGTCATAGGCCTTTTCTAAATCCAGCTTGCAAATAAAACCTTGATTTCCGAACTTTCTCATGTCCTCCAAACACTCATTTGCTATTAGGATCTGATCTGTTATTTGTCTCCCCTAAATGAATGCTCCTTGAGCTTGACTAATGATGGAGAGCAGCACTACTTTAACCCTCAAAGATAACACTTTAGCCAGGATTTTGTAAATGCTTGTCACCAAGCTGAATGGCCTAAAATCTGTAGGATTTTTTGCTTCTTTTGGAGTTAGCTCACCGTTGCGGGATCGCAACCCTTTGTCTCGGCCATTGTAGCACGTGTGTCGCCCAGGGCATGAGGGGCATGATTACTTGAGGTCATCCTCACCTTCCTCCAGCTTATCACCAGCAGTTTGTTCAGGGTTCCAAACTCAACAATGGCAACTAAACACGAGGGTTGCACTCGTTACGAGACTTAACCCAACACCTTACGGCACGAGCTGACGTCAGCCATGCACCACCTGTCCACGATCCCGAAGGCACCCCCCCCCTCTTTCAAGAGGATTCACGGCATGTCAAGCCCTGGTAAGGTTCTTCGCTTTGCATCGAATTAAACCACATGCTCCACCGCTTGTGCGGGCCCCCGTCAATTCCTTTGAGTTTCATTCTTGCGAGCGTACTCCCCGGGTGGGATACTTAACACATTA